ATTTCCATTTTTGGAGTTAGAGAAGGATCTACAAGGCCAATAAAAAGTTGTGGGACTAGGTGTCTTGCACTATACTATATCTACAAATTTCTATTATATAGATTAAAATTTAGAAACTTAAACAATATAAAAACATTTAAATCTTTGTTTATCAAGCTATCTTAATTTAATTGCTAATTTGAACATTACAGATTTTTTTTTTTGATCGAAAAAAAATATATTTATATTAACTAGAAAAGCTCTTAAAATTATTCCAAGTAATGAATGATACTTACATTTTATAAATTCAATTCAATTCACGAAATTATGCTGGTGACTAAAATAGATTAAAACCGGGTTTTCAAATTCATTTCACATAATTAAATAGTAATTGTATGTGCAATAGGAAAAAACATGTAGTTGCTACTTTGGCTATCTAGGTAACTCCAGTACCTGTGGAGTTTTATTAGGAACAAAGCCTATAAAAAAAACATACTACTTGAGAGATTATATATTTAAATAATACTTTCTATTATTGAAACAGTTAAGTCGAGGTTCATTAGAAACAAAGACTTTTTACATTGTAGTTTTCTACTTTATTTAAAGAAAGACTTTGCATGTAGGTGTAAAACATTCATTTTTATCGATTGGAGCATTGACATCTTATTCATTATAAAGATATTTATTTACCCAATAATAATCATTGTTTCTAATTAATAGATGTGTGTATATATATATATATATATATATATATATATTCACTTTTATCGAAAATATTAAAACAAAAAATTTTTATATCATTTTAAAAAAAGTTAACCAATAAGTTTCATTGAGCTTAAAAATTTATCAGCTAGTTTTTTCTTAAACTAAAAATTGGTCGAGCCTTAGCATTTTGAAAATTCCAAATTTAGAAATTGAGAAAATTTTTTTAGAATAAAAGTTCTACTATTACAAACATATTATCAGTGGCTGGCCACGTAAAGGTGTTAAATTCTCATTTGATAATAATTATCGCTAATAAGTCAATTGGATTGATTTATTGAATCGAATAAACACAATTTGTTGTTGTTATTTGTAATTAATAGCGTTTAATGTGTTTATGTGTAAGGCATTTCCAATCTTGATAGATCTTCATCACTATTATTAATTAACAAAGAGAAAACAAATTAGTTCTAAATTAGAGTGAAATAACAAGCAAATAACGATTATTATAATAACACTCGAGCGCTTCTACTCGGGAAGAATTCATCTATTTATTTGTTTTTAAACAAATTTGTTTGTTTACACCAAATTTACAGTTGTGAAACATTGCTCAAATATGATATTTTTATAATTGACGAAACAATTATTGATGGATGAGTATCTTGATAATGGACTTTAATGTTAGTAGACCATTGAATTTTTTGATTTACTATGCCAAGAATGACATAAATTTAATTTGATATTTCATCTGGTATAGTTAAATCCAATTGATTTGAACCTGCAAAATATCAATTGTATTAATTTAATATGGTATTGAAGTTAAAGTCGGTGTTAAACCTTAAATTATTAAAATTTTGATTGAAATTAAATTAAATTAATAGTTACCATTATGACTAGCTTTCATGGTGTCATTTGTATTTGGATGAACAGTTTCTGTAATTGTTGAAGGATCATTAGTACTTTATCCATTTAATCAAATATCTCTCTTTAATCTATCAAGCTCTCTTCTAGAATATCAATACACATTACCTGTTCAATATAAAATGCATTATTCCAATAATCAATAGTTTTTTCTACTTTTTTTGACAGATGAACGTTTATCTGGAACAGCATCCGTAGATTAATACGCTAAGCCAATATATAATTTTAAAATTGTTTGTCAAATAATTGTGAAGGCTTCCATCTGTTGTAAATGTATATTCTTTTGTAATTAGATCTTGTGTTGTGCCATGAGTATTAATTAAATTTAAGCTATTTATATTAAGAACATTAACGGAAATTTTTCAAACTAATATATATATATATATTAAAATTTAGCAATAATAATAGTGAAAATGCTTGATAGAAAAATTTAAAATATATAATAGCATATTTTACCTCATTTAAAAATTCGTTTGAAAGATCTTATAAATAATTAATATCCTTATAACATCTTTTATTTTCATCATTTATCCAAGTAGCTTCGTATACAATTGCAACTTTATCTTCACCAAACCTTTTGAAATCATCATAAGGAATCGATTGAAAATAAGATTGATTATCGTATTCTTTTGCTTTAAGCTGTGTGCTTTTAATCAATTCATCTAATCCTTCATAACCACTGGTTCAGCCTTGTGTTAATAACTGTGGGTCACATGTTTGACGCCATGCTTCTAAAGTATTATATTTTTCACAAGTTTGACATCCGCCATGCTCTTCTTTATCTAAATATTTGAGTTGATAAAAAAATATTAGAATGTTTATCTATCAATATCTCTACCATTATCACTACTAATATTTATTAAATCACTAAAATTTCCATCCCTGATATTAAAAACATTTTTAATGTGCTGCCTCTATAAATATCAATATCACTCACTACCTTTATTTTTTAAATTCGCCCATATTTTTTCCTTTATCTTTATCCGGAGATTTAAATTTATGTTTAATAGTTTTAAATAAAAATTTGAAAAAAAAAAAGTAAAAAGTTTATTTTTAAAATATTTGCAACTACAATAATATACTTTAGGGTCGTTTAATAGTTTAGGATGTTGAAAGAAATGCAAGGAAAAAGGGAAAGCATCAAGTGACAAACAAAACCGATTATGCTTGCTTGCTTTGCAGAATTTCCCAGTATTGGGGAAATTCCCAAAATGTATGTAATGATAATAATAATAATAAATTAGTTAATATTAATAGTGATAGTAATGGTAATGGTAATAGTAACCCAGCGCCCAGTAATATTTAGAAATATTAATTATCCACCAGTACTGAATAGTGTTCTTATTTTGTACATAAAGTAGTACTCAAACACCCATTTGATCATTTTTTGTTTTGTTTTTTTTTAGAATTTTAGAATTTTAGAATTTTAGAATTTTTTTTTTTTTGGACCAACTGAATTTTGAGTAAAAGAATAGTGTACGGAATTGAAGTATACAAAAACTCCACCAATTACAACTAACTGATAGGAAGACATATTCATATCAATTTGTGTAAATTATTTACTTGGGACCAGTGCTATCACAAATATAAATGAAATTTCTGTATATTGAACTCATTATTCTCGCTATTACTCTTACTATTAAAATAAATATACCTCATCGTGAAATATATTTCATTACAATCACTCGTACATTTCTAAATTTCTATTATTATTATATAATTTATTCTATTAGCTTTATATACAGTTGTTACTACCATCATCTACCAATCCAAATATGTCTTTTAAATCAACAATCCATTAAAGATAGCTGCTATTATTATAGATTCTTCCGCGGTTGCATCAATTTATCTATTGTCTCATCCATTCTTAGTTAATAATTATGGGTCACGTGGTTGACATCTGAATAGTATTTCTTGACTTAATACACGTAAAAAGTCACTTTAACACGTTTATCTACACCACCTCCTTTTTAAAGTATTTCTCCCACCATCATCGTTATCTCTTTCTCTTTTACTATCTCTATTACTATCAATATCTCTAATGCTAACATTGTCTTTATTTGTTTGAAAAACCTTTTGATTTTAATGTTAATATTTGGGTTATGCAAAAGAAGAAAAATTACCCGACAGATGATAAACGAAAAAAGGTCTAATAGCAGTTTAATAATATATCGACAAAATTCATTCGTTAGAATTCACTTCTTTTGTTTTTATTAATCAATGAAACGGGGATATTTTCGTGAAAGAGTCAACTTTCAATTATTTTTTTATTTCGAATCATAAAAATAAAAATTCTTAAAATTATTTATAAAATATATAGAATTTCTAAAGAAATAATATATATATATATATACATGTATATATATATAACGAATGTACGAATATAATTATAAAACATTGCTCATATTAAATAATGAAAAAAAAATAAATAGTATAATTAGTGCATTTGAAAAATATACATATAAAGTTCTACGAGTTAAAAAAAATTAATTGTAAAATAAAAATACTATTTTACTTAATTATTAAGTTGTTGTTGTTGAATGAAAAATAAAATCTCATTAATTGGATGATAATAACATGAAAGATAGGTTGTTTCGAGAGGAGATGATGATGACGATGATGATGATGATGATGATGACGATGATGATGATAGTGGTGGTGGTAATGCTAATAATTGTGATGATGAAATTTCATCTGTTAATAAACTATCACTATCATTGGTGGAAGGACAAATAAATTCACTGCTACTAATATTATTATTATTGTTATTACATAAATTTCCGGTTGCACAATCAGTATATGAATTTACGGAATAATTTATCCCTTCTAAATTGGTATCAGAATAAAAATTTTGCTGGAATTCTGAATGATTGTTCGAATTATCATAATTAACATTAATAGGAACGTGGCTTTCTGAAATAGGGGTTATTTGGACGCTGATGGAATTATTTAAATTATTCGAGGGATTGATCACAGCTGGGCTACCACAATTAGGTTCCTCTAGTTTAATGGTATTTAATGTTGATTTGGAAGCGGCTCTCTCACTATCGTAATGTATCATATGTAAAGGTAAACCGACTTTCTGTTTATATGTTATTTCAGCCTCTTGAGCTAATTTTCGATAACGTTCTTTAACTTGGTTATCCTCACTTTTCCAAAGCATTCCCGCTAACGATGAGACCTGGGAGACTGTTAATTTTTGATCCCTCAGCCTCGGTCCGTCCTTTGTCATTTTTCGGTAAATAATAAAAGCATTTGGAAATTTATGTGACTTTGGATTTACCATGTTGACAACATCATTCTTTTCAATCTTAAGTGAACTATCAGGTCTAAATGATTCATATGATTGTATTATCGAATCAAATAACATTTGTTTTCTAATATTATTTGCTACCTTTTTTTTCATAATTTTATTCATTAAAAAATATTATTATTGTTATTGTTATTACTAAAGGTCAGAAAAAAAAAAGTAAAAAAAAAATCATGAAAATTTTTTACAAATTTATATAAGAAAATTTTCCGACGTGTAACAAAACAAAACCTGAATTACATAATCGTTTTAAAACATTCTATTCACCCACTCAACCGCTTAATCTATTTTATTTTATTTACATTGCACTCCAAGTAGTACCATGTCGCACCATAATCTTTCATATGTTACCTAAAAAGTGAAAGCCTGGAAATTCCCTTTCATTTATTTAAATTCCTAAAATAAAAATTCATTATTATTGACATCAAATAAATAAATAAATTACAATTGGAAGCGTAAATTTTTTCTCGAAAACAGAAATTAGAAATTTCCATTTTTATATTCTCACCATTCAGAGTTAATCTACAATTTACAATTAAATGTAAATGTTCTTGGAGAAATCTCCTCATTCTTTCAAGAAAAACAATATATTCCTATTTATTACTAGAATCTGAAAAAGGAAGACTTTATTGTATGGTGCGATATTCCTTGTTCTTGCAATTTCTATTGCTCTGTAGTCAATCAAATATAGACTAGGCGGCTGTGTGCTTAAAGCTAAATCACGCATTTAATTGGTTTAATTGGTGTACATTTTCTCTAAACTTCCAATTAAGATGAAATGAATGCTTACTTTTTTTATCTCGAAACTTCTTTACGATTGTTTTTTGTTTATTCATTATGCATTGATTATTATTAATTGGATAATAAAATGTGATGTTATATGTGCGCGTGTGTTTTTCACAGTTTTAATTTAAAACAATTTTTTTGGATGAAGGAAGGAAGGGCGTTTATATATGCTAATAATTTTATAAGAACATATCTCCGCAAAATATTTGGTATAACTTATAAGAAGGAATAATTGGAATGAAAATAATCTTTCTAATGTTAAGGGTAAGTTGTGAAGGAAAGAAGGAAAATAAAAATTCTGCAAAAATGACGTACTTTACTAAATTTGGCAGATCTTCTCAATTTATCAGTTACAATATAACGCTATACCAAAATTAAATGCGACAGCACGGAAATTACAAAAATAAAAATTAAATTATAATAAATATTACTCAAAAAACAACATAAATCTTTTACCCAATCATTTTAACTCATTATATTGTTAATCACGTTCGTTCATTCTTTAAATATAATAATCAAACACGTTTACATCAAAAAAATATTACTAAAGATAACCAACAAAGTTGTTTGTCACTTTTGGAAATTTATATTTGATAGAGATCAAGATGCTGCTCGAGAAAAGAGTTCTCTATATCTGGTTTATGTTATTTCAAGAACAAACTGATATTAATTATTTATGTTATAGTAATAATAGAATTAGATCTTGATCACATATAAATTTTATTTTATTATTATTGAAGCTTTATTTCATATGGTTGGTGACCATAATAATCCAGCAATTCTATATTTGTAGAGTATAATTATTGATATAAAATTTGAATTTCATATTATTAAATTTTTTTGATGTGAATGAACCAACTAAATAAAAATTATTTGGTGAAGCACAGCAAGTAAAAATAGAATTCAAGGAAAATGAAAATTAGTTTATACATTGTCAAAAGTTACGTGATAATAATAAATGGAAAAATATATACGAATTATAATATATTAAAAAAGAGGTAAAAGAAAAATTGAAATCTTTCAAGATTATTGAATACTTGGATGTATAAGCGTTCATGAACCAATGGTAGAGTCACTTTTAATATATAATTTCCATTTGTTTACACAAATTATAAATAATAATAATAATAATGCATACATTGACCATGCGGTCACTTATTAATTTCCGTTGTATCTCCATAACACGATTTCTTAAATGATTCAGGTAAATTTTGTTACCCTCAACGAAGATTTTTATTGGTGACATTAATTTTATGTCAAGTTTCGAATGAAAACTTCTATCACTAATACCAATATTCAAATGATAGAGAAGGAAAACGTTGCAAAAGTTCAACTTACAATACTAACTGTTCGTGATGTCAATCATGTGATCCAAATTATAATTAATGTTCTGAGGTGGGTGTTTTGGATATGAAATTCGATTGGCTAATTTGAATTTCATATATGTGAATCATAAATTTCAGCAACAATGACAACGAAATGAATGACCAATGAAGCTATAACAAGTTCTGCAAAAAAAAAAAGGATAAATATACTATTGGTTTAAGTAACATTCATGAACAAAATTCGATTCATAATCTATAGTGGTAATGTTCTTTTTAAAAAAAATTTGTTAAAGGGATTTGTCGTCGTGCATATAATATATATTACACACAAATTTAGGAGTTTTGGGGTTTGATGTCAGTTGTAGACAACCTTTCAGCAATATGACCTACTTTTTCAAATAGCACGCCCATAGAATTGGCATATGGATGTATGGATGCTGTTATCCCTAACAACTGCCGAAGAAATTAGTAATTTAATTATTATCGGGACAGATTGATTAATCAAGAAAGTTTTTGAACCACAACTATTCATCCAATTACTGTGTTTATAGTAGCAGATTATTATGACGTTCAAACATCTCACAACCTGTAAATTCAAACAAATGCACAATTATCGACAATTAATTAATTAATCAGCATTCATATTTTTTTAATCTTAAATTATTTTGTTCGTCTACAACTGTGATTGGCGGTGCATAAATTTCCAGCATATTAGTATTAGCAGGCTAGAACCAATGACAATTTTACTATTCTTCTTTCCTTTTCTATAGTATTTCAAAGAAGATAATAGCATTCAATTGTAATTCACCTTGCGACTACCTAATTAATGTTTTATTATTTATTATAACAATACGTTTTTTAAGAAAGGAAAACAACATTGAGGAAATTAACATTTGGGAAAAAGGAAATAATAATATTTTATTCAAAATGCCTTTATGATGGAGTCAGTTGCTCATTTATGAGCAATTTCCGACATTGTGTGAAAGTGAGTCATCTCTAAAATTCTGCCCGTGTATTTACGAAACTAACGAAAAATAATTCTGTTCATAAAAAAAATTTTTTTTTATAAGGAAATTCAAATAGCAATTATTATTTCGTGTTACTTTTAATTAAATATATAAATATTTTTATGAAAATTTGAACAATGCACTCACCATATCCATATAAATTGAAATGTACAAACGAAAAATGTCATATAATGATGCCTGGGAATGAAGATGAAGCAGCTAAAAAATGAATAAGGTACAGTTCACACTCTCTACATATAATGGATCTTTCAATATATAATAATAACGGACTGAGAATTTAACCCCAATTTATATATCTGTATTAATATATAAATTATTATTGACTATAACAGGTTCTCTCTACACACCACTCTCTATAATGGACTGAAAATTTAAGCCCAATTTATATATACATATATAAATTATTATTATTATTATTACTATTGTATATAACGGACATTTTTTCCTAAACCAAAATGTCCATTATAGAGAGTGAACTGTAAATAGGAAAAAAATTAACATAATAAATATTTTCTAGATACAATTTTTAATTTTTAAAACGAATTACTTTGAACTGGGTTAAGCTCTTCGTGAAAAACAAAATTTTAGAAAGCGTGGTGGAAGTAAACGCATGTCTGAACAAGTAAAGGAGTAGAAGCAGGTGAGTTGGATGTAAATGAGTTATCAGAATAAAAATTGTATTTTTTGATGAAAATGTACATAATGGTCTATTTTATTGAATTGTTTGTTTTACAAAAATGCAAGTGGAATCATGCAATAGAAACATAGAACGTAAAGCGAAATGTTACAAATGCGCCCGCCGATCACTAATTAAAAATTCACTATGGTTTTTTCTTCTTCATAGGTAATCCTTTCTTTTTAGATAAGCTTCAAGTGTCCAAGTATCATTTTTTGCCTTGTTCTCTTTTTAAAATACTAATTGTGTCATAATTCTTGGGTTCCATGATAGACTCAATGTAAATTAATTTCATATAAATATTTTTATAGCGATAAAAAATGGGAAATTTTAATAATAATAATCACATTACTAAATTTTGATCCCTGAAATTCTTGGTAATACCAATGTTCGCTTTGTTGCAGCATGCCCATATAATATCAACATTAATTGGCATTTATAGACATACTTGACCATAAAAAATATCTTTTGATATTTTGATATTGCAGAAAATTTGGTGAACGTATTTTCACATGATATGATCAAATAACGAATGATACCTCAACAATTTCTCGCCAGAAGTAAGATTTTGAAATTAACAATCAGTAATTGGTCATATCAAATAGAATAATAATAAGCAAATGTGACGAATTTAAAAAAAAAAATCTATTTAAAAATGAATAAATAAATATTATGAATAATTCATATTTCTTTTTTTGAGCCTTACTATTATATGCACATATAATGCATGCATTGTTGATGTAAACTAATAATTAATTAGTATTAGATTTAAATAGATAGACGGGAGTAATCGTGATCATTCTCGTTTTCCTTTTTTGTTAGTACTAATAATTTACCCAAATTCTTATCATCATCATTGCTTTTACAACAGTGTTAACAAAGTCGTTAGGAATTTTACCCGATAAGTGAAGAAATAAGGAAGGAACGAGCGACTTTGCATCATTAATTAGTATCAGATGATTGTAAAATATTTTATAATATAACAAAGGTATAGAACACATTAATTCGCCCTCTTGGCTCAATGGAAGAGCATTGCCCTCCTAAGGCAAAGGTTGCGGGTTCAAGTCCCGCAGGGGGTACATATAATAAATTAATTTACATATTATTATGGAAAAAAATTTACTTTGTCTATTGTATATTATTTAATAATATTTAGAGAAAACGGATATTTGGGCATTTATTATCGTTAAGAATTCATGATTTTTTTTTTATTTATTATTATTATTTATTTATTTAATTTACATTTTATATGAAAAAAAAAAATAAATGAGAAAAAATTTATGTTTGCTCTCGGTCGGGGAATTGAACCCCGGTCTCCCGCGGGCTGCATTCAAAGTAGAATTGACAGGCGGGGATACTAACCACTATACTAACCGAGATTTTTTAATGAAATGTTTTTAAAATTAAATTATTTATAATAAATAATTCACAAAGAGAGAAAAAAATTTTTTTTTTTTAATTAACGGAAAATTTTATTCAAAAAAAAAAAAAAAATATTAAAAAAATTAAATAGCAAATAAATAAAACATATTCTTAATATTTTAGTATTAATGATATTTTTTTTAACAAATATTTGACACAGAAAAGTGTGTTGAAGAAAATTAATATTTTTTAATAATTATTGATTACTATGTTTTACAACTCCATCAATCACCATTGTATCAACACCATATCTTTCTTGTATTTTTATATTACGAGGTTCATTATTTGAAGATCCAAAGGTTGTTAAAATTAACCCAGATTGTTTAATATTCGTTATTAATGAAGGTACACGAAGCTACATTCATCACCATTATCAAAAAAGAATCATTGTTATAAATGAGGAAAAAAAAATAAATTCTTGAAAATCAATCATCAATCGTAATTAGTAAAATGTTTAAAATCACACATACCAATAATGTAGCTTCAAAAATGACACCTAATAAATTATTACTTTTAGCAAATTTTACTGCCTCTTTAATCGATGTACAACGTTTATCCTGCTCAATATTTAATTCATGAATTTGACGAATTGGAATAATTTTGTTTTCTTCCTCGGCATTATTATTTTTCTGACGATCCAATGATTCGCTTTCATATCCACAATAAGATTTGAAAAATACCGCATCTTGAAGACAACAACAATAGTATTTTTCAATTATAAAACAATGTAATTGGATAAATTAAATAATAAATAAAATATTTTTGAATATTTACAATTTGGTTGTTTCCAATTTAAAGCAGTGCAGATTGCAGGATTTAATGAAGAAAATATCACTGATCTGTGATTTATCGAATCCTTGCTTATGTTTTTTTTTGCATAATCGTAAACTGTTTGTAAAATAGTGTCGACATAACTATTTATATCGGGTAGATCTGAAAACCAATAACGTGTCATTTCGTAGATTGTTGGATATCTTATTTCCAAATTTACACCAATTGATGATGGCAATTTCTAATAAATTAGATCAAGAATGAATAGAAAATGAATTTTCAAGTTTGCAGAAAAAAAAAAAAATCAAAATCGATTAAAACAAATACCTCTAAAACAACTTCTAAAGAAAGAAAAGATTGGTGAACTAATCTTTGTAGTTCGGATGTACTTTTTGCCGAATAAAAATCATCCTCTATATTTTTTTCCTTCAGTCCTTCAAATTGTTGAAAGGTAACATTAAATACGCTTAAATCAAATTTTGTAATTGGTAATACCCAATCTGAATATACAACAGCAACCATATCTCTGGTCACCTGAACCACTACTTGAATATATTCACCGGACAATGAAGATGCCGTGATGAATGATGGTATTGTATTGTTACTGTTAATATTATTTTCAATCCTATCATTACTATCATTATTGTTATTATTACCACTGCTAATATTATTATCATTACTATCGTTATTACTACCAATCTTACCACCACCACTTATACTCCTAATGCTGATCCTATTATTAAAGGCGTTATTCGAAGGTTGATCTGATGGTATAGAAACATTTATAGTATTTGTTGACTTCCAATATGTTTCTACATGCCCGCCGATTTCAAGTTGTACACCACTGAATGGTTTGACGACAGCAAATTCAAACGACAACTCACCGACCACCTTCAAATGCGTGTCAAACAAAGGACAAATACATTTACCACCGGTCCCACCATTCACCAGATGATTGTGTCTTTCATAACCATAGCCCGTAAAATCAAACATGTCAGGCAATGCAACACCTTTACCAATAACTTTGGAACCAAAGGTGGGAAATATATCAAAATCTAACGAAAAATTTTCCAAAGAGTCGACTTGAAACAAAAACATTTCGCGCTCGTCACCCAATGGTAATATCACACTATGGGGAAGTCTACCTAAATCTGGTTTAGATGAAATGATCAGTTTCAGAGAGGATAATTGACTGTTGCCGTATAGATGAACTGGCGGTCTTTTATTCTTCAATGAGGTGTGACCTAATGTAACTTGAATGTGAAATGTTTTATCTAGATAGTTATGTCCATAAATCCTTAAAGGAATTATTGGTGGTGGCAATGATAACGAAGGTATTCCATCATCTAACAAATCCATGCTATCCTTATCCTTATTCTTATCATCGCTGTCTTTCATGCCAACAATATCTTTAAATTCTATTGATTCTACATGAGCACCAGCCAAATGCAATTTATTGATACATTCAATGTGGCCTTCCCAAGCAGCATAATAGATAGGTGAACGATGAAACTCGTCAAATATATTAACTTCACATCCAGCTTTAATCAGAACATCAACACATTCTATATGACCTTCACTAGCAGCATAAAATATAGGCGACCAACTATTATAGTTATCAAGGGTGTCTAAAAGAGCTTTATGTTTAGTCAAGATGCTTAATAGTTCATGATGACCTTCACGGGATGCCAAATGTAAAGGAGTCAAACCGTCAACATCGGAGACAATTTTTGCGCCTTTGTTTAACAACAACATTGTAATATCCTTGTGACCACGTTGACATGCCAATGATAAAGGAATATGACTATAATCAGTTTCAATGTCAGAATCGATCTTGGCACCCTTGACCAGTAATATTTCTACGCATTCACTGTGCCCATTAGTTATAGCATAAATCAACGGACTAAATCCATCGTGATCAAGGCTTTCTAAATCAGCACCTTTTGACAAAAGATAGGTAGCAGCCTCATGATGTCCATACATGCAGACATAATGTAATGGTTTTCTACCAAAAAAATCAATAGAGTTAATGTTAACCCCATGAACCACGCACAATCTCATAAGAGATAATCTGCCAACTATCGATGATTCATGCAGGCAGCTACGATCATTAATATCATCTATGTATGTGAAGTTGACTAGTCCAGTATCAACCAAATATTGTACAGCTTCCACATTTGAGCATTTTTCAGAGCAAGATCGCCAAAACACACGAGATAAAATCTCGCGATTTTCTTCGATATTGGAAGGTTGTTTAATTCTTTCCAATAACTCTTTAACGGTTGAGATTGACCCAATGGTTATAGCTTTGAATAGTTCTGTTTCAATATCATCGTTCATCACATCGTCGGATTCTCTTGAAAAAAAGTCACCGCTACCAATAAATGCATTTCCACTTTGTGTAATTGATGTAAATTTAGCAGCCTCGTCAGAATTTTTGCTGAAATTGTTATTATTATTATTGATTTCACCAACGCTACTGCTGCTGCTATTAATATAATTGCTACTGCTGGTGGCACTGCTACTAATACTGGTACTAGTACTATTAATATTATCATAATTACTGTTATTATTATTATCAAAGAATTTTTGAATTTCAGATAAAGAGGTATCGACACTATCAGCCAAATTTGTTATAAAGTCTCGATTGAAACAGGGTTGAACCTCTACTTGACGTTCAAGATAGAGTTCTTTTGTACTAGATTTAGATCTTTTATCCCATTTTTTTAAAATTTTCCTAAATCCTGTAGCATTTATCTCTATGAATTGCTAGGGGGAAAAAAAAAAACCAAAAAATTAAGGTGAATAAACGAATGAAAATTCTGCTAACAATGATAAATCACAATATATATATATGTATAACAATTTTAATTAGTTACATGTAATTTATTCAAATCTTGACGAAATTGTTGGTAGGCTTCGGTTAATATAAATATTGAAGATGAACTGACAAATGATCGTTTTTCTTTATTTAATAGAATTCTTTTTTTATCATTCAAGGTTCTTAGCCTAACTTTGAATTCATTTTCTTTTTGTAAATAAAAAGTATTCACCTAATAAAATAATTATTAAATATATATAGAAATTTTTTTAATTGGAGTTTGATAATGATTATGTAGTTTCTTTAATGATAATTAATTATTATAATAAAATATACTCACAATCTCAAGTTCACGTTCAAGCTTAAAAAAGAAAGCTGCCTTTTGTTGTTGTAAAAATTTTGGGTAATCATCAGATATAGATAGGGTAGAATTATCAACAGATGATAATGTTAAAAAGGATGATGATGATGATGATGATGGATCATTGGAATTATTATTTCTTGGGATTGTTCTCTCGTTGTTTTGAGAGGTTTTTTGAAAACTATTAATGATTTTTTTTAAAGCTTTATAATTAACATAATGAGCAGACCATTCTCTTGTTTGTTGATGAAGAAGTTGTTTTCCAAACTAATAATAAAATTAATTTTAGATAAATACTGCGGAAAATGTCATTATAAAACTGCGATTTTTAACATGGATCATCAAAATATTTTTAAATATTCATTCATCAATTCATTCACATATTGATTAATCATTACCTTCATAATTTTAAAAATAATTATAACTAATTATAATTTTTTTGAAAAAATAAAAGAATGAAAAATTTAAAATTGGGGAGGAGTATTTTTAAAAAATTTTCTGATGCACGTACAACCTACAACCTTAACATTAATCTATCTATTCTATATATCAAAATGTAAAGTCATGTGGTACCACTAAAAATGAATTTTTAATTATATGTAACACAAAAGGAATCACATGAAAAGGGAGAAAAAAAATGTTTTATAATTTTAATTTTATATTTTTATTATTTTTTTTTTTTCAAAATGGATAAAATCACAAATGAAAAAAAATCAAAAGGTAATAATAAAAACATGTGTTATAAAGAAATAATAAAATTTATTAATTAAATATTAATGAAAAACAGTTGTTGGTGAAATGGTATATAATCCCAAACTACAAAGATGGGAAGGAAATGAATCAGTTTTAAAGGATTTTGATTCACCCAGCAAATCGTCATTTTTGACAAATGTTGACAATTTAAAAACATCACATAATGGGAAAATAATAGTTTGTCCAAATAAAAGACGCAGCAGCAATTCAGTATTTTCATCTGAAGACGAAGAAGATCTTCTTGCAAGGTTTGATTCAGACTTTGATGACGAGGATGATGATATGAAGGAAAAAGTTGATAAATGTTTAAATAAAGAGAACAAAGATGAATCTAAACAAAAAGATCTATGGGTGGAGTCGCAATCAAATAAAGCAATTAGTGATGATGGCAATTCATTAAGTGATTATAAAGGAAAATTATTCAATAAAATCAAAAGAAATTCAATATCAGGTGGAAGTCATTATGAAATTGGAACAGAATTTGATGTTGCACCTGGATTTTTGTCAACCTTGTTGGCTTCTGAAAGACAGCATCGCAATGAAATAACAAAATGGTATCCTGCTGCTGGGACTTTAAAAAATGAGCAAAGATTCGGTCTTCGTTCTCCAACTATAGAACACGGGTTTCTATACGAGATAAGAAACATTAAGAAGGTATTATTTTTGAAAAAATATTTGTTTAATTATTAAAATGCCAACGGTTTTGTTTTAATTTGCTAAAATCTTGTTTTCAATACATTTATTTAACAATAGAAGAGTTCAACAGGTAGTAACAATAATTCCAATAGAAATATTGAAATATGTAAAAACACAAATAATAAAAAATCTGGCAATATTTCAACATTACCGGATCGAAAACCTTTCAAGTGATAATCTTGCACACATTATATATATTGTATATTTTTCATTTATTAATTATTTAATTAAATCATATTAATTGTATCATTGTTATTATTTATTATTTATTATTTATATATATATAATTGATTTTTAAAACGGGGATGTTACCTTTTTCACATGGATATTGCCTTGTCATTGACAAGGTTCCGAATATGTGATGCTTTTCTAGTTGGAATTCTAGTACTGGGTATATTTCAAATCAGAACTAGAAAATAATTATTCAATATATCCCGGATTACATGTATATGTTTGATTCACAAAAAAAAAAAAAATAAGAATCTGTTTTACAAATTATTATCTGCTCGTTGTCATTGTGTCATCATCCATCTTTATATTCTCTTACATTTTTGATAATATTTTTAAAAGAGGAAATTTAATGATATTTTTTTTTCGATAATTAATGTCGTAATTCCAAACCATGTACAAATACAAATGTATCAATATTTATTCGATTGATAATCTGGTTGCTAATTATTTTATCCATTTTATCTATTATTTATAATTCATTATTGTACAAAACTGATTGTATACAATGATATTAATTTGAAATATTGATAATACAACACCCCAAACTTTGGCTTGAAAATATTGGATTTGAATTTGAATTTAATACTCTATGAAATTAATGTGAATTTGCATCGCCCCAAAAACGGGAATATAGTTTTGACAATTACAATCGCAATTCACATGTGAAATTCAAATTAGCCAATCAGAATTTCATATCCAAAACACCCCACCCCAAAATTTTAATTATAATATTAATATCACCCAGCCTGATCATAAATTAAACCCAATAATTGTTGCGAGAAGCCTAAGGAACCAATAAAATTTTCAAATTTAAATAATTAACAATTTCATTACCATCGCTGTTAAAAATAGTTACAATATGTATTGGAGATGGAAAGAAATCGAAAAATCACCCGCGATTCAAAAAGGGCTCAATTAAAGATAAGCAGCGTAACATTAATGCTTCTATTATTGATTCAAACGAAGATGAATACCCACAAAGAATATGGAACATTCCAAGCTTGTGATAAATATTATTACTAATTTTGTAGGTATTTAATTAAGTATATACACAAGAATATAATAATCATCAATATCTTCAATGGATTACGTACAATAATTTAAAAGATATTAATATTGAAATAGTGCATAAAAAGATTACACAAACATATTTCTGATAAATTTATTGAAAGCGAGACAGGTTAACGCAATATTTGATGTAACATTCGTAAATGAAAAGATATGTATGAAATATTGCATATGCAGCACTTTTGGTTTTGAGGTGTTGATGTCAGTTGTATCAATAAGTCAATAACCATCCATTAATATTCCACATAACATAGTTCTTGCAATGAAGATTGGGTCCAAATTTCTAATTTCTATGGTATCCGATAAACGCCAAACGGCCAAGGAATTATATATTATTATTATTATATGATATTGAATTAGTAGACTATTTATTACAATTCAAAATCTTCCTCGATCTATGAATTCAAATATTAATTTTTTTAAGATTTGTTATCGATATTAATTTTAATATAATATAATTAATATTCCATACAAATGGTATCTATTTAAAGTTTGAAAATAATACGTGGCACTTGTCACAGTGGACTAAAAAAAGTTCCCGAATTAGATCACGTTTTAGAAATTTTATTGGTTAAAAAAAATATAAAAAAATAAATTTATATTTAGTGCCAGAGCTTGCTTTAGTAAATAAATACACACACCATTTGGGCAAATTTACCTAAAGATGCTGGTTTTGGTGTCTTGCCTTTCATGTGTGGTGGAACTCGCTTTGACTTTTCCATATAATTGATTATCATTCCACATTAAATTTGTTTTTTGTATTTTTTGATCTCTTTCTCCATCACTTCCCTTCCTTCCACTCATTATTACTAAGATCATCCAATTCGTCCAATTCTTTCTCTTTCTCTTTTTGCTCTTCTTCTTATCATTATTATTATTATCATCCGATCCTTTCTCATTCCATCTTCGTCATCAATTTATTATTAGTATGATATATTTTTTTTAATAAATGCTTACTTATCTTCTGCATCTATCTTTCTGTTTATCTCCATGTTGTCTTTTTCTTTTAGAAAGAAGTGACATTTTTTGATTAATGAAAGAATATATTTAAAGATTTAATATTAATTACAACTTATTAATTTATTTACGCGATTTTAATGCTACGTGATAAATTTTTTGCTTCCACTCCCTCAAATAATTATGCAATAATAATAAAAAGATTTAATCCTTGGAATTGTAAGAGGTCTCATTATTTTGTTTCGTATGAGTAGAAGTCACATGAAGATTTTTGATGAGTATATTAGTATGCAAGTATAATAGTAATAATTACAGGTGACACGCACCAAAGTACAACAATAAATGAATGAATCACTCACGCACGCATTTTTTCTTTCCTCTTCCTCATTCACTCGTTCACTTTCCTCTTTTCCAAATCTTTTAAATAAATTTATACATATATACATATTTATACACATGCATATGTATGAATATTATTTATAAAAACGAACATTTATCCTAAACAAGTAATAATCACTACACTTTTTTTTTTAAAAGAAAATTTCTGGTAAATATTATATATATATATTTTTTGTAAAGAATTGATCTTGGAAAAAAAATTTACATCATATTATTGTCGTTGTTTTAATCATTGATATTATTTTTTAATTTAATTTTTTATTTAATTTGATTTGATTATTTTTCCTACACTTTTTTTTTTGTTAAAAGGAATTTTTTATAAAAAATAGAAAAAAAAAATTTTTATTCTATCATTCAAATTTTGATTATGAGTTTAAGGTTAAATTCACAATCTATCGCTCCTACTACCAATAGTAATAATAATAACAATAATAACAATAATAATGCTACAAGTAATAGTAGTGGTAGTAATACCAATAGACAGGTAGCTGAACAACCTCAACAGATTTCAAAATCACCAACAGGAGACCAATTCACCTTTACTTGGACAATAAAAAATTATCATGAAGTAGCAGATCTTTACCCAACTGGTAGATGGTTTTACAGTGACAGTTTCATTGAACCAGGTCTATCGACACAAAAAAAATCTCTATTAATAAATAATGATAAAAGTACAGATTATTTGTGGCGTATGTGCATGTATCCAAATGGTGTATCACATCCTGATAAAAATTATATAGGTTTATTTCTAAAGGCTATTCCTACCGATCATGAAAGAGAAAATAATTCATCCGGCAGAGAAAGAACTTATGCATTCGAAGTATACAGATTAGAAACATCATCATCATCAACAACAGCATCATCGACAACAATTACAACATCAACGTTGTCATCTTCAAGTACAACAACCTCAACTCCCGTACTGCTCAAAAATGAAAAATTTTCAAAAACAAGGTTTGGTTTTGGATCTGATCAAGTTTTTGGTAGAAGGCAATTCTTAAAATTATCCGAGATTTATCCAGATCCAATAAATAAATTTGATTTGATAGTCAGAGTCAGGATAACGAACGAAGAGAGCATTGCAATGTTGTTGGCTTTACAAGAAATACCCTATGGTGAATTTCCTTTGGCTTCACAAATACCAAAATATTTTGATGACGATCGATTTTGTGATGTTGAGTTCTCCTTCTCATGTGGTCTGACCATCAAAGCACACAAAATAATTTTAGCTTCACAGTCTAAATATTTTGAAAATATGTTAAGCGGACAATGGATAGAAGGTCGTAATAAAGTCATTCCAATCAAAGAGATAGACTATGAGATTTTCAAATGTGTAATGTATTATTTGTATACTGGTAAACTGGAGGAGAACCTTCAGTTGGAACAATTGAAAGAAGCTTACATGAAGGCTGACATGTTGGGATTAGAAAACTTGACAAAAATCATTGCAAACAGAATTGCCGAGGATGTAAATCACGATAACTGGGATGAGATATTGTTGTTAGGATGGAAGATGGGCGATACGTGTCTTAAGAGTGCCAGCATGGGGTTTGTTACAAACAGGTGGGATGAATTAAAAAGCACTGTGAATATGCAAAGAGTTATCGCGTGTAACAATGTTGATTGGATTGAAGAGCTAATTGCCGAAAAAATATTTGGTGTTCATGAATATGGTCGTAATAAATAAAAGAAAAGAATTGGGAGGTAAATGTGGTGGATATTTTATATATATTATAAAAATGGTTAAATTATGTGATAATTATGACAAGGATTAAGAAATATATACATTATTCATTTAAATTGATTGATTAGATTTTTTTTTTGCAAATTTAATAATAATAACAAACAACACTACACATATAAGTAAGAATCACAAAAAGTGATTGTAATTAATGTGATAATTTTTCTTTTCTTTTTCTTTTTTTTTAGATGTAATTATTTTCCTTTTTTTTTCTTTTTCATACTAATAATTATTATTGTTATTTGTACTTTTTATTATTCTCTGACTATATAGATGTTACACACAAAACGAAACATGCGCATAAATAAATAATATAATACTATTAATATTGCTAGAATATATACTATCTATTATCTCTCTCTTTCTTTATATTTACGATAATAATAATAATATTTGGGGTGGATCTCGTGACACCTTTAAAGATAGTTATTGGATCAAATGATCGCACGCACGCACGATTGGTTATTAAATGATGAATATTAATTGTATTAATTGATACAATACTATTATTTTTGAATTATCAATATTTAACTCTTTGTTCTTATTTTGTTGCGAGAATTCAATGATCCAACAATTGAGTTATCTCGAAAAATCAAAAGAATCAAAAAATAAGTCACAGTAAACGGGCGAATCAATTGATGCTTGGATGTGCTACTGTCGGATATTTTGGTTTTTGTGAACTCACTAATGGAAAACAAGTGTACAAATGAGAATGCGCCCACTTAAATGATTCTCAAGTTCTTGAACCTATCATCAAACATATATTTTACATAATATTTTTATTGTTTCATTTCCTTTAAGCCTTTTTTTCGGTTTAAGAAACTTACCTTTTATTATGCAATTAAAATCAAAAGATAATGCATCTATAGAATTCTAGGAAGGCCCTCTACTCATTGTCACGTAAATCTGTCATGTGGTAAGCATATTTTCACAGTTGAATGCGGTGGTAGTGTGTCTTGTGAACAGTGATTGCAAACGCATTCTGAATCGGATACTGGTTTCTGGATGCTGATATTCCATTGATACTGAAATGTGTCATGTCTTTTTGAACATTTAGTTTAGAAACATGGAATTTCACATGCGTAGTCTTCCTCCTCAAAACCAAGGCTATGTATGTCTGTGATTAATATATTTTGGTGGCTGATACATGAGATCGTGGCTGTGTCCCGAAGAAAAATAAAAATAAAAAAGTAAACAGGTTATCATATATCACAAAATTTTAATTATATAATGAATGAACCACTCTTTCTTCCTCTGCAATTCTACAAATTATAAAAAAAATATTTGCCGTACAACCCTAATTTGCCAGAATAAGAAAAATCGCAGATCCTTGTGAAAATACTTGGTAAGTTTTTTGTGCCATTATTTATATAAGTAGTGTAGTTGTTACACAACAAATTCATATATATTAATATATATTAATATGAAAAAAATTAAAAAAATTTATCTCTCTCTCATAAAATTCCTTTGGTCACCACTTTAAAGGTTTAAATCTCTAAAAAAAAAGAATTTTCTTTTTTTCTGTCTGGTTTTAATCCCAACCATGTCATTAACTGAACAAATTGCCAATAATACCAATAATATCAACTCTATTTCTACTTTGGATGGTGATGTTGGAGTTACTTTGATGTTTCCAGAAAAAATTACGGGTGATACTAATTCAATTTTAGTAACCGATAACAGTAATATGGATGGAAAGGTTGATTTAATTACAACAACATCAAATGAGCCAAGTGATACAAATTCAACTGGCCATTCAACTGGCCACTCAACTGGCCACTCAACTGGTCATTCTACTCCTGATTTGTATGATACAAACTTTCCTAGTCTTTCATCAACTGCTTCAACTACCACTTCTTCCTCTCCTTTTCCTACAGCTATTAATTATAGTAGCATTGTTAATAGTAACACTAACGGTGTTAGTAACGGGGTTAGTAACGGGGTTCAAGTCTATTCTTCCACAAAAAAAAAAACAATCCTTGCTATTACCGCCACCAATGACACCACCTCTAGTTCTAATGCCATTGTTATAGAAAAGCTGGAATTGGCAGAATCGCAACATAATAACCCTCAACAACAAAAAAGATCATCATCATCATCTGACGATAAAAATAATCAAGCGGCAGAAATTATTAGACGGGTGATGGAGAAAACAAATACAAAAATAAAAGTTGATCCTGCTTCAAAAAGTTCTATCGTGACTTTTTTAATTGAGGGAAAAGATAAAGATGTTGCTAATGCAAAACACATTTTAACTGATAAACTTGGTCTTAAAGTAATATATGATTTTTTTTCTGTGTGCGCGTGCACATTAGAGTTATATATATATATTTGTGAATCAATGGTTTATAATTTAACAATTTACTCAATTAGTTGATTTTTTATATTTAGGATAAAATTACTATTCAAGTGCCTGCATCAGCCCGTTCTCATTTATTAGGACCTTATGGTACAACCATAAAATCAATTACCAATTCAACTGGTGCGCGCATCACGTTACCGCCACGTCCTAACAACCCAAAAAAGGAAATGGAAAAGTCTGAATTGGATTTCGATGAGGATGAGGAAATGATGGATGTGACAATTTTTGGTGAGATGTGTGCTGTTTGTAAAGCAAAAGTTGAAATTCAAGACATTGTAAAATCTATGGTACATTACAATTTATTTATTTATTTATGATTATGCTGGTTTTTTTTAATTAATTATAAAAAACTTTTTTTACTAATTGGATGATTGGTTATATAGGGTGCAACTAAAAGAACACATTATATTAGACACATTGAAAATAAATTTTACCCATTGATTGCTGGTGCACATAATAAACGTATTAATCAAATTAGTATTGATACTAATACAAAAATTCATGTACCTTTTTACAACTCTACCAACCCAAACAACACATTAACCGATACAAAAAAAAATTGTATTGCTATTACTGGTGAAAAAAATTCAATTAAGATTGCAAGTGATGTGATTGAGGATCTTTATGAAGATTTGGTAAATTGTTTTAAGCTTTTTTTCATACATTTTTTATATTTTTTTTTTGAAATCTTCATGCTCATATATATATATATTCAAAAATATATAGAAAATTAATACACATACTCTTAATGTTGACATTCCAAAACGTCAACATAGGTATCTAATCGGCCCAAAGGGTGCTAATCTTCAAGAAATACTTGAAACAACAGGTTGTACACTAGAATTACCACCAGCGACTGATCAATCAGTGAAAGTGATAATTTATGGACCACAAAGTCAATTAGCAGGTGCCTTACAAACTGTAATCAAAAAAGCAAACTCTATACATGTTCAACTACTTGATATTACTGACCTTCATCAGACAGAAAATCTGATGAAACATTCTATTAATGTTTTGAAATATTTATGGAATAGAGGCAAATTGAAGAAAATTGAGTCAGAAACTGGTGTACAAATTGTCACTCCAAAGATCGCATCATCATCAGAAATGGAAATGAAAAATTTGGTTATGGAGTTTGTGGGTAAAGTACCTGAAGATGTGGGAAATGCTAGAAAAGAAGTCACCGAAATAATCAAAAATTTGGTGAGTTAAATGAATTTATTAATAATAACAAACAATTTTAAAGAGAAAATATACAAATACATACACAATCATTCACACATGTACATATAATAGCCTCCTAATTATTTTGATGTGGTAATGATTAATCAACAATTTCATCGGCATGTAATTGGTCGTAAAGGGCAAAATTTACAACGAGTCAAAGATGCTTACGGTGTTGAAATAATAGTTCCTGATGAGAAAGAAGCCAATCCCGAGATATTGATAATTTTTGAGGGTAGAGAAGACGACAAGGAATTTTCCGATAGAAAGAAAAAAGAACTTCATATTATGGAAATAATGGAAAAAGTGAAAAATGAATTGTTAAAAGTGGAACGTGATTCGTCATCAGATTTTTCTGTTAGAACATTAACTGTTCCTGTAAAGCATCATCGGCATATTATTGGACCTAAAGGAAGTACTTTGAATACAATTATTTATAATGACGGTAGTAATGGTGGTGGTGCATATTCGCCTGTTTCAGTAAAATTTGGATCGTCTAAATCATCAGGTGTAAGTGATCGATCATCATCATCAAACACACAACAAATTTCAGATAATTCTATTATGGTTAAAGGACCTGCTAAAGAAGTTGAAAGAATTGTCGAAGAAATTAATGAAAAAGTAGAAGATGCTAAACGTATTGAGGTTTGTCATTACACACACACTTGTGAGGAATATTATAACTATATCATCACACCACGTACTTAATATATTTATATAAATTATTATTTTAGAATATGAAATCATTTACAGCAGAATTTACAATTCCAGCAATCTACTCCTCGCATATTATTGGTAAGGGGGGGAGCAAAATAAAATTCATCAGAGACAATTACAATGTTAGGATAGATATAGATGATAAGCATGTTGACAAAAGCAACAACGGTAGGGAAGAAGACGAAATTGTCAACGTCAAAATAGTCGGGATGAAAGTTTACGTTGAAGAGGCTAGGAATCGAATTCTAGACATAATTGACAAATTACATGGAGAAAGTGTTGTTCGTGTGAATATTCCACCGCAGTATCATGCATCATTGATTGGTGCAAAAGGTAAAGGCGTTAGAAATCTAGAAGTGAAACATGGTGTACGTATTAAATTTCCAAAGAATAATAATTCCAAAGATCATTCTACCACCACTACTAGTATTAGTAGTGAAATTGATGAAAGTAGTTGTACCGTAGGTGAAGAAGAGTGCGGTGAATTTATAAAAGGTGGGAGTAGTGGTAGTAGTATAGAAAAAGAATGTAAAAGGGAAAGAGAAGATGAAGATTTCGATCCAGATGTACAAAAACCTTACGAAGTATTAATAACTGGTGGTAAAAGAGGAACCAGTGAGGCTAGATCGGAATTATTGGATCTTTTACATTATACAAAAGATCATGATGATGTTCTCAGTTTCACTATTCCGGCCAAATGTCTGCCACATATTGTTGGCAGGAAAGGAAAAAGAATCCAAGAGATCAGGACTGACACATTTACAAAGATCGATATTAGCAATCCAATAACCTTGAATGATGATGATGATGATGATGATAGGCTATATGAGAAAGTTGTCAGAGTAAATGTGCGTGGTAATAAAATGGATAATATCAAGGCACAGAATAAGATTTTGGAGATTGTTAAAGAATTTGAAGAACAAGCAACAATCACTATGAATATTAATCCTAAGCATCACAAGTTTTTGATTGGACCTGGCGGTAATCGTATTAAAGAGATTATAGCAAAAGCTGGTGGACCAGAGGATAGGAGTGCCCAGGCTGGGATTGTCAAGTTTCCTCGACTTGACGATAATGGTTGTAATAATGATGAGGTTGTTATTAAAGGAAATAAAGAACTCACGGAAAAAATTAAAGAAGAATTTGAAATTTTAATCAAAGAACAAGTATGCATTCATTAATTGATGTTGTTATAAATTCCAATATCTATTTAGTTAATACAAAATTTTTTTGTGTAGGATAATTTAATAGTTGATACTATTAAGGTTCCCAGGGATCAACATTCAGTTATTATAGGCAGGAATGGATCCCAACTCCGTAATATTCAAAATAAATTTAATGTCGAGCTTTATTTTCCTGGTTCACATTTATATAATCAAATAATAGTGACACAGAAAAAAGAAAAAGAAAAGCATCAGGATAAATTGTTGTTGATAGATAGTAATGATTTAGTAAAAATAATTGGAAAAGTTGAAAACATTAAATTTGCCAAAGAAGTAATATTATCAAAACTTCGATATGAAGATGTGTTTAAATTTCCATGTAAATTCTATAGTATAATCAATAATAATGGATTGACATCAAGGAAATTAAGAAACGAGTACCATGTAATAATTGAACATCAAGCAGATGAGAGGAAACAGATTTCAACAATCATCAATAGAAAACCAATTTTCAAAAAATCTACTAAATGTATCATTGGAGGGGCTGAAGAAAATGATGATTATGAATTCAATGTGAATAAATTTGGTTTTAAAATTATTGACAATGATGGCGGTGAGGATATGATGGTGGAGGATATGATGGTGGAAGATATGATGGTGGAAGAGGTGATGGCGGAGGATATGATGGTGGAAGAGGTGATGGTGGAAGAGGTGATGGTGGAAGAGGTGATGGTGGAAGAGGTGATGGTGGAGGAGATGGTGGTGGAAGAGATGGAATCAGGAATTGGAAATAGAATCGAAAATGAGAGAGAATATTTTTTGAATGAAATTTCTTGGACGCTCAAAGGTGTAAAAGGACAAGTTAATCAAGCTGTAAAATATTTAAATGAATTATTAGAACAAGCGGTAATTACGAAGTAACAATTCTTTATCTTTATCTGATTTTCAATTAATTAATTCCTACTTCCTTAACTCTTTCTTTCTTTGTAAATGTAATTAATTATATGTTAGATTAATACATGTACCGGATATCTATCAATTCCTCAAATATATCATCGACATATTATTGGGCGTGGAGGATTAACTATTTCACATATTAGAACAGAGAGTCAATGTAAGATTGACGTGCCTAAAGTTAACGGTGATGATACAATTGTAATCATTGGTAGCAAAGAAAATATTGTAGTGGCTAAAAATATGATATTTGAAATATTGATTAACTTGAGAAAAGAACAGAATAGTAGAAGATATTAATATTTTTCTTTATTATTTTGGTTGTAAATTATTTATCTTTTTATTTATAGAAATATTTATTTATTCGTATATCGAACAATCGAAGGTTCTAAATTCTGTAAACATAACTGTTTATCTATGCACTAATTTGTTTTTTGCACACACTAATACTACAATGCATCTCATATATGGGGCATACTACAACAAAACAAGACAAAGTGAACATTGGTATTACCAAGAATTTCAAGGATCAATATTGTTTTAAAATCGCAATTGTGTTACAATATCAAAAAGTTCATTTTTTTGAATAATAAGTTAAATAAGTAATAATAAAAATCTTAAGTGATAAATAATGACAATGATAAGCAGTAACAGGATAAATAGAATAAACAACACATAGTAGACTTACTAATTATTTTAAGCATTGTTTTTTACTTGAGATAATAATTTCATTAACAAATATTATGTAAAGATTATTTTTGTTAGAGAGCTAATGAAAAATAAAACTCCGAACAAACAAATTTTGTTATTTGTAAAGACCGGATATCTATCAATTCCTCAAATATATCATCGACATATTATTGGGCGTGGAGGATTAACTATTTCACATATTAGAACAGAGAGTCAATGTAAGATTGACGTGCCTAAAGTTAACGGTGATGATACAATTGTAATCATTGGTAGCAAAGAAAATATTGTAGTGGCTAAAAATATGATATTTGAAATATTGATTAACTTGAGAAAAGAACAGAATAGTAGAAGATATTAATATTTTTCTTTATTATTTTGGTTGTAAATTATTTATCTTTTTATTTATAGAAATATTTATTTATTCGTATATCGAACAATCGAAGGTTCTAAATTCTGTAAACATAACTGTTTATCTATGCACTAATTTGTTTTTTGCACACACTAATACTACAATGCATCTCATATATGGGGCATACTACAACAAAACAAGACAAAGTGAACATTGGTATTACCAAGAATTTCAAGGATCAATATTGTTTTAAAATCGCAATTGTGTTACAATATCAAAAAGTTCATTTTTTTGAATAATAAGTTAAATAAGTAATAATAAAAATCTTAAGTGATAAATAATGACAATGATAAGCAGTAACAGGATAAATAGAATAAACAACACATAGTAGACTTACTAATTATTTTAAGCATTGTTTTTTACTTGAGATAATAATTTCATTAACAAATATTATGTAAAGATTATTTTTGTTAGAGAGCTAATGAAAAATAAAACTCCGAACAAACAAATTTTGTTATTTGTAAAGAGGATTTTTAAGATAGTACAAGTTGTTTTCTGCCAAACAATAAAAATTACTAACAACTAAGTTAAAAAAAATAAAAATTACTAATAACTAAGTTAAAAAAAATAAAAATTACTAATAACTAAGTTAAAAAAACATCAGTTATTTAAAACCATGTTAATTGAAAATAATATGTATTTTAATGATGACTTTTTTGTTAAAATATCATCAAACTTTTTCCTTTTTTCTTCCGAAGAATTTCCGATACCGTAAAGTCTGGAAAGATAGCATCCCCTTTTTACATATGTGTAACAATTTTTTTATATTGACGCTCAATTGTTTTAAAGTAGGGGTGCTATCTTTCCAGACTTTATGGTATAGTGGATGGTGGGTACTGTCAACATATTTGAAAAATTCAAGAACTATCAAAGAGATTTGGTCTCCAAGATCAAAAATCAAAAATCAAAACTAACATGGAATCATACATACGAAATACTGTAAGTATTCTTAAATATTTATTATAATTACATCTAGTGTAAAAATTGTGTGATATTGCTAATTTGTGAACCAGACAAAAAAAATTTTTTTTTACAAACTTATATTTATATTTTAGCACAATTTCATCAATAATGGTTATTACGTATCCATGTCCCTACAAACCTTTCTTTACATCGACAGAATGGAACGAAATCATGAAATCGAATCTGTATAAACCATGTCAACCAGGTCTAACAAAGGCCATTTCTACATCATTGCTCAAAGCATCATATAATGTATTGTTAAATTTGGATTCCGAATTAAATTTGAAAGATAATGAAATCGGTGACAAATGTAAAAGAATTTTTAACAACCTGTAAGTTAACACCATAAATATCTGTCTGAAAGTGGCCAACAACAAAATAAAATTTATTGATGATATAATTAAATTATTTTTTTAACACATTTTTAGTAAATCGGACCTACCAGTTATATACGATGCAAAAATAACTGAAGATGAGCATCATTTTCATTATTTAAACCCCATCATAAGACCAATTTTCAATGATACTCATGAAAATTATAAACTTCATCTAAACAAAAGTGTTGACGGCTCATTGGAAAGACCTGACTTTAGTTGTCAGGTTAGCAAGATCCCTATTTTAAATTCCAAAGTAAAGCCAGTCAACTGTAAGTCTCTACGAAAAAATAAAGATTTAGTAAAAACCCATTTAAGGTCAAAGGAGTCAATAAATAAAATGATTCAACAAAAAGGTGGTCCTAATGAATCTATAATTTTTTTGAACATGGGTGGGTATAAATTTCTTTCATAAATCGATTTTCTTTGTTCTTCTGCTAATTTTGTGTTTTTATAAAATTATTATTTTTACATCCAAATAATTGATCAATCCAATTTCACTTCTGACTGATAAATGAATGTGAATGACTAAATAATCAATGATTTATTCGATTAATTACACAATGAGGATATTAGCATCAAACAAGGTGAAGACCAGGGTCGATTTGGAAATAGGCCATTTTCCAGTTATACATTTTAATATAAATACAAATTTTTTATTTGAATTGTTTGTTTTAGTTTTATTTGAATTGTCTGTTTTATTTGAATTATTCATTTATTCGAATTATTTGTTTTATTCACATTTTATTCATTTTATAAAATATAAATTCACAGCTTGATGCAACAAATTCTATTTATAAATTATAATCTATATTACTACTAATGTAGCTACTAGTACTATGACTTAAGAAAATGTTATTCATCAATATATAAAAGGATTACGATAAAAAATATTTTTGGTCCGATATTTTTTTAAACTTCCCCGTTGATCTGCAGGATAACCAATATTTTTGTTTACATAAAAATGAAAACTACATCTTTGTAACTTATATATAGTATCGTTAAAAAAATAGGAGCTAATCAAAAGACAGTATAATTAATAACAGTTGATTTATGAACAAACAACATATGGATCTTTGAGAAAACAAGAACAAGAAGAATAACAAGAACAAGAACAGCAAGAGCAACAAGAGCGAGAACGAGAAGGACAACAAGAACAAGTTAACTAAAAGAAAATGTTTAACTTCAAAAAAACAGATAACGGGAAGCATAACATAGTTAATAGCAGTAGATAATGAATTTAACTCAAATTGTATCCAGGCTCTTTGTTCTTGTTTTCAAGAGTTTGTTAGTCTATAATATGTAAGTTTAAGTATTAATACATTATTTTAAAGATGATTTTATTAATCTGGCACCTAAGTTTGTTATGTTGGATTAAAATGAAACTATTTCTATAAAGGTTTCGAAATGATTTTTAAGAAACTATCTATGACTTTCAATTGGAGTATATATATGTCTCTTCAAATTAAAAGCATTATCCTTAGTTAGGCGACGCAATTTATTTTTTTATTAGCCCTTTATAAGTTTAATAAAAAAGCACATATGTCGAATAATAATATAAAATATATTAATACAATCATTAAAATAGATGTAATATGGAGACAGGGGTATAAGAAAATAAGTCATGTTTATTTAACTAAAATACAGTAGATAATTAAAATAATATCATCCTTAATATCACTAATTTTTCTTTCTTCATCTTCTTTATCATCGCCATTTTCATCTTCTCTATCTTTTTATTCTTCTCCTTATTAATCCATTGCTGGATTACTTTTATCGTTTTCTGGCACAAGCTTTTTTATCGCGAAAGCAGTGGTACCTTTTCTCTCTTCAGGTAATTCACGAATCCAATGGTTATTTTGGTAAAGGAAAACCAAAGTTTCGTTTCTGAATCTCTGATATACACATATCTCCCTTAAAATAACCTAATTCATATGATCTCAAATAACATTTATTTTTAAAAGAAATTAATAGAACTAATAGGACAGAAATTATCAGATGAATTCACAGAAGCATACGTTGAAAAGATTTCGACGATGATTGAATCATTTATTCTATTCACGCAATATGAATTCTTTTTGTATCGAGTACTTTAGAGAATTGCTACAATGTTTAATATTCGAATGTGTCATATTGTAGGGGGTCGAGTCCCACCTCTACCCGTGCTTTGGGTATTAATATCAGGACTAACATATTGTGAAATTTTCCTATAAAAAAAAATTCTAAGGCAAATTACTAAGCTACACTGTGGACAAATATTGGTAATACATATATATATTCGATTAATTGTTAATAGTATTTGTTGTCTTTGTCACGTTCGTTTCAACGACTTCAATAAATTCATTAGCGGCGAATCTTGAGCATTTCAAACATAATTTGGATGAGGATTTGTTATGGTAAATTGCTAATTCATTGGCGTGTGTGATCAAAAAAGAAACATCCACAAAATGATTTTTTGAGACTGGTTTGAAGCTACCAAAGACACTTAGGGACGTGCCTCCGATGTTAAATAGTCATATCACTGATATAAAAACTTGATGCGGTCAGTGGAGATCTTGAACTTATGCTCATGACATTGTATAGCCTGCAAGATTTGAGAATGGCACAAATGGAACATTGTGAATTGTTAATGAACAAGAATATTGCCTGGGTTATGTAGATTACAAAAATAGAGCTATTTTTGTAATTAGTATTAGCATTCTAAAAGATCTGCCATTTTTTATGTCATTAGATGACGTAACCATACCCCATTTACTTTTTTTTTCCTGTTTTTCCAATAGCAAAAAAGAAAAGTTAAACTCGCATTATACCCAGTAACAACCACATAGTACCACTACCTTTAAAAAGAGTTGATTGTGATAACATTCAATGATATGTAGAATCTCATCTCGATAGGTAATTAGCAATTAAGTTTTGGAGTTTTCATAATATAATTAATATAATTAGTATCAAAAGTGATGGTTGTTATTATTATTATTGTTATTATTATTATTATTATTATTATTAGAATAAATTTTTTGCCAGAATTATCATAATCAATCTTCATCATTCATCATCCATTCATCACCAAACTAATAATCCTAAAAAAGCAGCCACAATAAATAATCCAGAATTCGACCAAAACACAATTTCTGGGAATTCATTTTTCACCGACCAACTATACAAAGAATTCATCCATAAAGGACTTAATATACTACCAATTCCTTCAAGAAGACTTAATCCACCTAAAATCTGGCCAGTCTTTGTTGGAGAGACAAACGATATACATATACTTCTTATTGTTGGAGAAATTATGGTCGAGACTGATGTAAAAATACATCCCAAATAAAATATTTCTGGTAGGTCTGCTAAAGCAAATACCATGAAACCAATAGATTCCATTACTAGTCCAAATCTCATTAACCAAAGATCTAAATTGGTTGTATTATTATCAATGTTGTTATTGTTATAGTGTGAAGAAATGAATTTCGAATTGATGAATTTACATAATGGTAAAAAAACCAATAATGCAATGAAACGTGTAAAAGATTGTAATGAATAGAAAAATCCATTTTCCAAAGGTGTCCAATGAAATTTATATGTTGTGTAGAGCGCAATTATTTCATTTTGGCC